TGTCGCTGGTCACGCCGCACGCGCAGGGCAGCCGCTGTCGCTGGTCACGCACGCCGCACATGCTCCCGAGACGAGCCTAAACACCGAGTCGGAGCATGTTCTCGGTGTGCTGTCGTTTTCGAGTTAAAGGCCCCTCCGTAATTGTCTCAGTGAGGATTAGTAGAACAGCCTGGGTTTATGTGTGTGCTGTGTGCGTTACTCATAACTCAGCGTCGCTCAAACAGAAACGAAAATGGCTCAGGTCTTGGTTGAGGGCGGTGTGCAGGCATTCCATGTCTGTTCTCAGTGAAGCCCCGCGCCCGAAGCAGTTCCTCAAATACGATTTACATGTAAATGTGTTTTGTTCGGAAGCATCAGAATCGCGAGTCAGGCCCTGCAGACTGCTGCCGGCAATGAAATGGTTGTTTCTGATACAGCTTCGGGTCAGTTCTTGTTCGTTTTCACTGCAATAGCACCAACAATTTTTCACAGTACTCCGAGTCCAAGATGAATTAGATCCACATGAAGTGTTTACTTCAGCCCTGTACATAGCTCTTCTCTTACGCCCACACAGTCTCCACAGAAAGAGTGCACCGGTTTCTGAAATGTTTTTATCGTGAAGTTAGGGCTATCCCGACAGTATGGTTAGTCTTCCTCTGTTAAAGTAGTGTATGGGAGTGAGGGATGAGCGACGGGCAGTGTGGGGTGAGCTCTGGTTGGAAGGCAGGAGCAGACTGTCTAGCGGGATGAGCATGTCCCGTTTCTCCATCGGGGCGCTGGCTCCGGGGCACATCGATCTGTCGGACCTTCAGTGCAATTTCAGGCCTGCACATTTCCCTGCATACAAAGTCTGCTTCAATTGGGGAAAAAATTAAACAAGAAAAAAAGTCATTTTTTGCCAAAACAATTTTGTGTTAGATTCTTTGGGGGGGAAAAAAAGAGATTCTAAATGAAAAGTTTGTTTCACAGAAATTAGGACTACTTTAAAACAAAAGAGAACAAATTAAACATTAAAATTAAGACAGTCAACTCAACTAAGAAAGTCTGCTGGTGAAAAGCCAGCACCCGGATGGGAAGGCGGAGAAGGACTTGCCGCGGCAGGGCCGAAGGGGCAGAGTGGCTGTCAGGCACAGCGGGCATGGCAGGCTGTGTGCCTTAGGGCGGACCCGGGCTGGGGCCACGAGCCGAGTGCTTCACACATGGGTGCTCGGGACTCGCTCTGAACATGGCCCTGGGTGACTGCGTGTTGAAACAGTAATCTCGGATGTGTTTGGTTAAGTGAAATATCTTTTAGAAATGTCCTCTTATTGGTGATTCGATCCCTCAGACGCTAAAGAAAAATTTAAATAAGTTGAAGGCCACATTGAGAGAAAGCCCACGTAACAAGGAGACCGCTCTGTCTCAGCCTCGGTTCAGATGGCTCTTCCTATTCTGTGTTCCCTCCTGGGCTCTGGTATCCTGGCCCGATGGAATGTGGCCGGCAGTGGCCCTCAGTGCCACGGCCACCTCCACGGGCTTCCCACCCAATGGTCATCTCGGGTGAAGCACTAGGGAACGTGGAGTCCCCATCAGTCCGTCTGTCCCTCTCCCTGGGGCGAGGCGCCCGGGGTGCGTCTGTGGGGGCCAGCTGCTCTCCCACGCACGGTGGCTGCCCCGGGGCGTGAGGCCCTGAGCTGCTCTTGGACACTGTGTGCTGGGGAGGCAAGGCCTTCGGGTGGGCTGGGTGGTGGCAGGCGCCCTGACCTGCTGTCCTTCCTCCTCGAGGTGACCAGCCGGGGGGAGGCCCACCTGGAGCTGAACGCGTTCCGGAGGAAGCACGACTGTGCCCTGGTCATATCCGGGGACTCCTTAGAGGTGAGACTCTCTCCAGCCTCGCACGTCGGTCCCTCCGTCCATCCATCCGTCTCCCTGAATCAAGGCCATGCACGGGTCTGTCCGTCTGTCTGTTCGTCCATCTCCCTGAGGCGAGGCCCAGTACAAGTCTGTCCCTATGTCTGTCTGTCTGTCTCCCTAGGGCGAGGTCTAGCACAGGTCTGTCCATTTTTCTGGCTGTCTGTCTGTCTCCCTAGGGTGAGGCCTAGCACAGGTTCGTCCATCTGTCCATCCGTCCATCTCCCTGGGGTGAGGCCTAGCACGCCTGTCCATCCGTGTCTCTGCGGTGAGGCCGGCCTAACCTCACCTGTGTCTGTTTGTCTGTCTGTCTGTCTGTCTGTCTGAGGAGAGGCTGTCCACTGAGTGTGTGCCCACCCGTGCCAGTGGCCTGAGGGCTTCCGAGGCAGACATGCGGCCGGGCTCCTGGGCTGTCTGCGGTCACGCAGTGTCGGTGCCGCGGGTGCGGCGCGTGACGACGACGCGCAGTCGTGGCTAGACTTGCTGCTGGGGCTGTTGCTGCCCAGCGACCACCTTGTGCTGTCTGTCATGGCTGACTCGGGGCTCTGAGCGCCTCTGTGGCCCCCGCTGTGAGCTCTGGAGGCACCCCACTTCCACCCACGATGCTCCTTCCCGTGCTTTGCCACAGGGCACATGTGCTCGCTGGGGAGAGGGACGGTGGGAAGTCACCCCTGAGGGATGGCCACACCACAGTCCCTCCTCCTCCATCCTCCTGGGATTACGAGCACAGGTTCCCGTGCCCGCGTGGTTTTCAGGCTGCCAGGTCTGAGACACGAACCCAGGGTCTTTCTCATGTGGGTCTGGCTGCTGCACCACCTGGCCTGACAGCGCTTTGGCCTCACGTGTCAGCGTGTGTCCCATGTCCAGGTGCAGCAGTTTTTCCAGGGCTCACAGTCACCCTCAGGTTCTGACAGTCTCGTCCTTCCCGGTGTCAGCACAGCGTGGCGTAGGCCGTCCCGGTCGGTCACGTGCTTGCTCTCCGCTCCCTAACCCATCCGTGGGGCCGGACTCCAGGAGTACGCGCTTCTCCTGAGAGCGGCAACCGCGTAGGTGATGCGGAGCGAGGCGAGGGCGGAGCAGGAATATGAGGCCGTGGGGGGACGCTGCGGAAGAGCACGCGAGGGCATGGGTTCTCTCGGAGAACACACGGGGGAGCACGGGGCGTGAGAGCCCGCCTACAGCTCCCGGATAGAAGCTTTGCTGGGGAGCAGGGACCGCGCACGGGGCCTGCCATCAGAGCCTGGCACGTTTCTGAGGGGGCGCACAGGGGTGGCTGGCAGCAGGTGCAGGGCCCTTGCCGTGTCTTCCAGGTCTGTCTCAAGTACTACGAGCATGAGCTGGTGGAGCTGGCCTGCCAGTGCCCGGCCGTGGTGTGCTGCCGCTGCTCGCCCACACAGAAGGCCCGCATCG